GGCTCAAGATGACAGGGGGAGCTGGTTTGACGCTTGTTCATTGGCTGTGGATTCCTGTTTTCCCGCTTGAAAAGTCTGTCTTGAGTTGCTGTTGTTGTTTCGTTTGCTTCGGCAGTTCCGTGCAATATGACCTTCGCGATTGCAATTAAAACAGGTTACTTTCTTGCGTTGTGCCTGGGGCTGGGTCTGCGACTGTGGCTGYTGCAGTGCTGCTAAAGTTGCAGTGATTTTCTCCATGGCTTTTCTTTGGTCTTCMAGTGCTTTGAAAACGAGACCCATCGTAGCATCTTGGGCCTCCTGTGTCGCGGTTGTCGTTGTCATGGTTTCATTTTGAGAGRCTCGTCTGTTAACTACTCGCTCTTCTTCTTCCGACCAGCGCAGTGCTTCCTCGCGTATCCCAAGGAACGTTGTGCTTGGTTGCGTTCTTACGAGTCGCTTTAATTCACGCTTGAGTTGTACGTCTTTCACGTTATCTGCAAATTGATCTCTCAACGTGGAGTCTCTGTTCTGTACCGACGACGGRCTTTTGTTTATCACTTTGTCCATTAACTCAGACAGTCCATGCGAAAATGCACGCAATGTTTCTCCATCTCTCTGACGTCGATCGTAAAAGACTCTGAGCAGTTGTGTGGCTGATCTTTTCTCGCCGAAGGCTTCACGAAGTAAYGCTAACAGCGTCTGTGGGTCTTCTTTGTCTGCTCTTCGTAACTTGATCTCTTCYTTAGCCGTTCCCTCTAGTAAAGACACAATDAAAGCTGTCTGACCACTTGCGGGAATTTTACGGACCTTGATAGCCGACTCTACTTCTTCGATGAAATTYTCTACTTCTCTTTCGTCTTTGTTTCCTAYATACGGCTTAATTTTCCGGTCTCGGGCAACGTAGAAGATGCCAGGTTGGTTGTCTGCGTCTACGGCAACGCTGGAATTTCCGGTGCTTGTAGCCGATGGCGTGCTCACRTTCGTGTTTAAGTTCGAGTTTTGTTTCTTTAAATTTTCTAATTCGAGACGAAGACTAGCGATGAGTTCCAATGGATTTTCCTCGGCAGAGCTTGTTGACGGTCCGGACACCGCACTAGTACCTTTGTCGCCCTCTGACATATTGCTTGATTTGGATAGATCCTGCTCGCGACGCCAAATTTGTAGTATAGGTTACAGGTTCTCTGTTGTTTATTTGTGATAAACGTTTACAAATTCAAAAGGGCGACAAAGTACAGTGTGTAGCTAAAACAAATACAATAAACTTAACTAAGTACTTGTATATCTGAGATCAGATTCATGCTTCGGTAGCGATTATTGTGTAAATAATTATACAACAAAAGCATAATGTTCAGCTAATTACACGTACTAAATACAACAATAAAATGGATACAATTAAGAATATAAGCTAATATAAATGATTGTGTCTAGAACGATAGCAATAGAATAAATCTATGCGTAAAACTAAGCGAAAACTACATCAACCAAATGAACACGAGGTCAATACTGTATACTTAAGCAACTTGATTTTAAGTATCTAATAACAACTCTAATTGACCTTAAAGTACATACTAACAATCTTAAGTGTATATAAAATAGTATAACGTATTGCTAGAAAGCTATTCTATAAATAAGATGAGAAAATCTTACCACTGATTGTTARAATTGCTCTTTATCTTTGTCTTGCGACGCCGAATAATATATGCTACAAAAACCACGCTAATCTCTTACCATGCTGTCTTAATTGATTGACAGTAGTTGTCAGAACGAATTTGCGTGATTGGCTAAATCTATAACTAAAATTACTATTTAACTATTATGTCAGTATTGGTACTGGGACTATAAATGTTTACATAAAATCACTTGGCTACATCAGTATGGACAAAAATATAAGTACCAAACTTATTAATAAGCGTTATATCTATAATAATAAAATAATAATAATAATATCTAAGTACCAAACAGATACTATCAATCTATAATCTATTGTATGTTTGACATATTTTAAATTATGTTAGCAATAACACGAACCCACGCTGTATTGTGGTTGTTTGGTATACTTTAAGGTGGAACTGGGGGGGAAATATCACAAAAGACAACCAAATAATAAAACAAAGAATGAAAGACACAAAAAAAAAACGAAAAAAAAAACGTTAGTGTTTGACTAATGGTCTACCCCAAATATGAAGAGAGTAGGTAGTACATGCTTCACGTTAAAGAGAAAATTAGGCGAAAAACCATGATGCTACTTTTTGTGATTGAGATTTGGTTGCAGATATAATCATGGAAATTTGCTATAGTGTTAATTTTACCTATTTTTCCATAGTTTGAATAGATAACATTTTGAAACGGTAAAGATAAGTTGAAATTAGTAGAAATTAATTGAACTAGGTCAGCTTAAATTGATCAGCATTTTAATTTTAAGGTTCCACCTTTAGTAGAGTGCATCAGAAAGCTCGATAAATAATATATGATTTGTAAAAAAATTGACATGATAATTACATGTTATAGTTAGACTGTCATTAAACAAATCTGCACGGCTATCACAATTTATACAACTTTTCAGTAAAGTCAGACGTTTTGATTGGTTGGCTTTCGTGTGTTATCAAAGTATGAATACACGGATTACGTCAAAACTAATTGTTTACTAAAACTAATTGACAACAGTCACGCACTCGACTGCGTCTCTTGCGTACTTTTTTGTTCTCACTACATTTTGACGTCATCTGTGTATCTATTAGAGTACACACGYACGGAAAAATGAGATCTATTTGTTAAGTAGATGCCTAGCGCCAGAAAAGATAAATAAATTAGCCTTAGACCCTGTTTACATAAGATAGGGTGCCCCTACGTGGAAGGGCTGACTCTCTTGTTTTCTTTTCCCTGGAGGATTTAAAACAAAGAATTTTGTCCCTACTACTAGAGGCACCCTATCTCATGTAAACAGGGTCTTAAGCTGACATGAATAGAACCAATTAAACTGTATATTCCAAATAGATAAAATAGGTTGCAGAAGAAAGATATAAAGTCTCCTATTTACCGTTTAACGACGTATCTAAAGTAAAAATTGGCAATTAAGCAAAACAAATAATTCGAGTAAAATCAAACTGCATAAAAAAGATTTATATGACATTACTCGATAATGGATTGATATTTGCTCTTAACCCATTCAAAATATATTCGCGGATATGTATATTCAGTTGTACAACATCTTCCGAATAATTAACTTTCTATAAGACTTCTGATCTGTCTGAAGGAGCAAGATCGAGAATCTTTAATTAGGAGAGAATATTGGGAAATAATTCTGGATTAAGTTGATTTTGCCTGTCTTAAAATCGAACGTGAACGGTTCTTATTTTTCTCTAACAAATACTTTATCAATATGAAAATAGCTTATAGACCTTGAGAGGTGATAAGTTTCTTGGCATGAAAAGACCTCTATGAGAGCTCATCAAAACCTTTCTTCCCTTACAATCAACAGCTTCTCGACCAATCAAAATTTAACATAAGAGTTATAGAGCCTACCCAGGTGCCTATGATTAAATGTCTCCAAAAATATAAAATTTGAAGGTTAAAAAGTATAACGGTCTTAGTAAAGAGGACTTCATCATGAATAGCACCGCAGTTGTCGCTCTTAAAGTTACTGGTTTGACAATTTCTGTCATTGCGATTTTTGGGAATGGCTTGGTTGGTTTCATCATCACACGCGTTCAAAGCATGAAGACTTCTATGAACTATATCATACTAAATCTTGCTATATTAGACGCCTTAACAGGATTTTTCACCATATATTACCAGCTTACCAATGATTATAATGAAGTATTGGGTCCATCATTGCTAAAACAAGCATATAATCAAAGTGCTCATTTTGCTGAAGTACTCTGCAAGATTGAAACCTTGACATATCTTGGAACGTCCATATCACCTTTACTGCTGACAGCAATGGCTTACGAACGCTACAAAGCTATTGTGCATCCACTTTCAAGGTTGAACAACGAGGTCACCAGATCTCGTCTCAAGTGGATTCTCTCTATATCATGGGTTTGGGGATTTGGATATGCCATCTTTGACATGTGCATCATTCAGTATTATGCCGAGGAAAACTATTGTGATGACAAGGAACTTGGTACATGGTACAGCTATGGGGTCTACGAACTTGTGTACACAAGCATTCAATTCATCCTCACTTCAATAACAATGTTTATTTTATACCTGAAGGTTATTTTAGCCTTGCGAAGGCAAGATGGAGCACTTGCAACTCAGGCCAATGCGCAACAGGCTAGAGCTAAAGCACGCAGAAAAGTAATAAGGATAATCATTGCGGTTACATTGACATTTTACATTTGCTGTGGTCTTCCTCACATTCTATACGCAATACACGTCCAGTTCTACGAGATCTTGACATTGATGCAAATTGAGCCATATTTTGACGACGTGTATTTCATATTGCTTTGTTTTAACTCTGCTTTTAACCCCTTTGTATATTTTATTTTTTTGAAACAATTTCGAAAAGGACTAAAAGATGTTTTTAAAACTAGTAATCGCAGGACAACACAGACCACTATTGCTGTGAACAATTATTCTCTCCATTCCATTAGTTTGGACCAAATTGACGCTGGAAAAAGCAATCATACGACTAGGACTGAACCACAACTTTTGGAGGTGCGCGCTTTGGGGAATAGTCTGTTTTGAAAACAATTTTTATTTTGTGTCAGTTTAAGATCTTACATTTCAATCTAGTAATAAGATGCGAAAGTCTTAAAGCAAATGTATTTTTTCGTTGTAACTTACGTAGGCATGTATTCTCTAATTAATTAATTGTGTGTGTTTGAAGATGAATATGTGATATTTAAAAAACAAGAAGGAGTATTTATTCATTTATTTAACAAATTATACTACATACCCTTCCCTAGGAAGCTTATTAGTAGGGTGGTCAGACAGAAGTTTACAATTTTTCTAGTTGACTCCTGAAGGCCTCGTGGCTACAATTTGAACGCTGGAAGATTTCTTCTGGTAGCTCATATGATTCCACTCCTTTACAGCTCGGTTGCAGAAAGAGAGACTGTATGTCAGAGTCTTGCTAGGCAAAGGCTTTAGCATGTGTTTTTTGTATACCTTGATTGTCTTTGAGGCCTCTGTAGGAGCTCCTTTCTCCGCATTGCGGCCACCTGTTCGTTTATGATCTTGAATAGAAGGACAAGTCTACTGATTAATCGTCTTTGCTGGAGCGAAGCCAGGTGTTTTATCGCGAGATATAAACACAAGGCCGAAGGCCGAGTGTTTATATCCACGATAAAACACGAACTACGAGTTTTATAAATAAATTCTAAAACCCAAACCTCTAAGAAACTATAATATTTAGTTTAGTTGGAAAAAGCCATCATATAACTAGGACTGAACCAAAAGTTCTGGAGGTGCGCGCTTTGGTAAATAGTCTGTTATTTTGTGTCAGTTTAAAGATATCATTACATTTCAAACTAGTAATAAGAAAATCTTAAAGCAAATGTATTTTTTCGTTGTAACTTACGTAAGCATGTATTCTCTAATTAATTGGCTGTGTTTGAAGATGAATATAGTTAATTTCAAAACATAAAGAAACTAGTTAGAACAAGAGCCTTTTTCAAATTACGCTTTGAAAGTTATGTTGAAAAGATATAATCAGACCGTATTCAGTTAATTACGAGTGTTTGTTTTCAAGAGTTTTTCAGCCTTTTTTTCTTAATGTGATTTTCTATATAGCTTAAAAAATGAGCATCAAAGTAAGTATGACTTCGAATACTGATAACAAAGTGAAGAGAAATATAAACTTTTTAAAGTAGATCTCAGTGAATATTTTACGACTAAAGTTTAAGACTTTGATTGGTTTAACCTTCATATAAAATGAGTTATTCAATCAAACTTGAATATAATTAAAAGCTAATTTTATATCAAAGCAAACGTGATTGCAAATGAGTTTTGAGTTATATTTCGAATTCTCAAAAAGGGAGAGCAAAAGAGGAAATCATCTGAACTTGTAGACACAAAAAGAATTTGTTTTGTTTGAATCATTCTTTTGATAGGAGTGGAAAGCGCGAATCGAATTGAAGCCCTACATCCATTGAATGCCCATCATATTTATCTTTTAAAAGAGTTCTTCGCTTAAAAATGTGAATGATCTGGCAGATGGAAAGCTTCTCATAACATATTTTTTAAAACATGTCCAAGTCAGATAAGTCAAGTATCAATTGCAAACATTCGCATTTCGTCTTCTATACATGTCGTTCTCAGCTCGACTCTCATTTAGGACTATGCCGGCATCATGCAGTAGAAGAGACAACGTCCTCGGGATGAGACTAAGTACTGCTATATAGTCGATTGACAAAAAATTGTCGTCCATCGGACTTCCTAGCACGCGACCCACCCGAACAGGTTCTGGGTAAAAATCAATGAACTGGCAAATTAGGCAGAACAACACCTTCTAGTATAGTGTCAATTTGTTTCGGCTTTTATTCTCTTTTTCAAGAACTCGAAGACAAACATTGTAGTTTGTATCCCCCGTTTTGATGGAAAACAATGTGAGATGCAAAAATCAACATCACATGCATAATCAAAATATCGTGATTTGGAAATTTTCTTCACACATTATGTGTCAGTTCTTCCAATTGCAAAAGGCGTTCAAATCTCTAATTTGCCAGTTCATTGATTTTTACCCAGAAACCAGTTCGGGCTAGTCGCGTTTCGTGAAACCCAGTCGACGACAACCTTTTGTCAATCGACTATATGGTAGTTAGGGGCATTTCCCAATGGGGAAAACAGCACGTACTGTTTACTGCTTTTCTATGCTATTATAATCTCTAAGTGTTTTAGAATTTTCCCTAATTAGGACTGCAAATACTCTTTTAAATTGTCAAAGAATAGAATAGAAGAAAAGACAAAGTAAATTATTTATTAAACTTACTGCTTTATAAGATATGAAGTTACGCTGTTATTTCATATTTCCTGCTTTCATAAATGACTCCAAGAGAAAATGAGATAAGAGAAAGAATCCCTGTTACCCATCATATCAGCCCTTTGTTCTATTTTTAGAAAAAAGAGCTATTTTTAGTTTGTTACCAAGCCCGCGCGACCACTACTCGTTTATCGGAATTTGATATCGGCTATTTTTCATCGCCAAAAACTGAATGTCAAATACTGTTCGAGCAAAGCTACGAAATTCGCTTTTAAAAAGGAAACTTCTTGAAGAAGAAAAGGAATCTTCTTCAAAACAAAGAAAACTTGAAAGTGTCGAAAGAAGAATCAGCTTCTGTGACATGAAATTAGATTGACAATCTGACCTTTGAATTCTCTGACCTCTCGAGCAGTAATATTTAACCTGGAATAGATAATGATAATATTTTCTCGCGTCTTACCACAAACGGCTGAGCGACCTTGCCTCATACGATCTGACCAATCATGTTCCATTTCTAAAAATAGCTCTTTTTCTAAAAATAGAACGAAGGGCTGATATGATGGGTTACGAACGCAGTACCAGGGATTCCTTTTCTTACCTCATTTTCTCTTGATGACTCATAACACACGAATTCATTTAAATCGAAGATTAATTTTTTTTCTCAATTTCTCGCCTGCATAGAAACATGCGAACCAATTAAAACATTCAAAGATCTGAGTAATGTTCGAAGAGCTGTTTGATTTATGCAATGTCACAGAAAATACAGGTTGGTTGGCAAACTTTCACCGGTTATACTTAAAGTACTACTTATGTGACCTTGTATAATTAAATATCTTAGTTAAATTTAAGCTAAAGAATTACGATTTATTTGAATCGCAATAAAGACAAATCATTTGACTTGACATTTGGAAAGCTTGGCAACTGGAAAATGATATAAGTTTATGCCGTTATAAATTGTTTCTAGTCCAGTATTAAAAAATAATAATATAATAAGCGTTATAATAATTCAAGCTAGATGTAGACTATAATTGAAAGACTATGATTTATTAAAGATTCCAAGCTATATTGAAGTAGGTGTTCAAAATACATTTTTTATTCCCATAATTTTGATAATAAAATAATGTTTAGTTTGTTTTTGCTTTTGTTGCTGTTGTTGTTTTCCTTTTCACAAACTTCTTTCGTAGGAAAGATTTTCTGTTCAAGACTAACTTCTTATCGCAATGAATAGTTTGTCTATTAGCTTTAAACTCGACGAAGATCTGTAAAAAACACAACAGCAGTAAAAATAAACGAAAACTAAAATAAGGAATTGTCTAGCTTTAAAAAAAGGTTAATTGTATACGTTTGTCAGTAGACGTCTATAGAGCACTTACTTTTCATTATGCTCTCTCGTAAAAAAAAGCGTAAAAACAATCCTGTGAGCTACCTTAAACAAAGTATTATGTTAATATAATTTTGAAATGCCTCAAATTAATTATATCAACGAATTCGCACCCAGGGGAGACAGACATATACCTTCATTAAGTTCATTAATATTTACTTAAGTYGCAAGCTGTTCATACGGTACAAAAGCAGAAAAAAAAGTACGATGACTTGCCACTTTGAAATCGGGAAGTTTGTTTTAATGAAATTTGTCATAATCACCGAAAGGTGTTCTTTGTTGCTGAAAGCCGGGAAAATTAGTGTCAATAACTGGGGGGATGGGGGTGCCTGGCAAGCCATTTCTGACAACACCAGATCTTGTACAAATGAATGACAGCATCCAACTGTGCGAATAGGATACTTGCCTGCAGAATTTCCATCAATTGTACTCTAAGTCCTTTCTAAATTTGAATACAAAAAAAATCTATGGGTATACTGCGCTGTTGCTCACTTAAAATGGCATTTGCACGGTAAAGTTAATTAACAGCTTTGCTTGAAATTTTACTATAATGCTCGAGATCTCGACTTAAAAAAAAACTTTTAAGTTTAAAATTAAAAAACTTGGAGATTGGAGATGATTTTTGCGAAAATTATCAAAAGTGGCTGTTTCTTCGGGTAATTTCTCCTGACATTATAGCTTGAGTCCAATAACATCATTTTGGTGGCATTGTTGTTCATTCAAATAAAAGAAAAACGGCAGAAAAAAAAAATACAAATTCGGAACAAAACAGACCTTAATACACTCAAATAATTTGTCTTTTCAAGAAAATATGCTTTTGCAGCTAAATAATCTTGTTTTCAGTTTGAAGCATCATTTGTTTTTCAATGAAGGGTGTCATTTTTTTCCTAGATATCGCCATGTGATATGCTGCAAACCAATTAAAACCTGAGAATTTGTCAGATCCTRTATTTGAGTATTCAGTCAAACCGTGCCAACTATTTAAAACCAACGCAGGTAACGTCGGCAYATTTATTTAGGCTCTAAATCGTTGTTTTATCGAATTGGTTATATTTTCATTTAAACTCAAAAGCAAGGCTTTCGCAGTCATGTCCGAAAGGGTTATACTTCTTGGTCTGCGAGYGACATCACTTATGATTTCCGTAATCTCTGTCCTTGGAAATGTCTTGATTTGCTATATCATCGCTTGCGTTAAATCTCTTAAAACCTCAATGAATTACATCATCATGAACATTGCTGTATTAGACTCCATCACAGGTCTGTTTACAATATTTTATCAAGTAACTTTCGACTATGACAGCATTTTGGGTTCCTCAGTGCTTGAGAAAGCGCACAACRATAGTGCTGTTCTTGCTGACGTTCTCTGCAAAATGGAGACTTTTACATACCTTGGAACGACCGTCTCACCTTTCTTGCTAGCCGCAATTGCCTACGAGCGTTACAAAGCCATTGTACATCCACTTTCAAGGCTAAGCAATGAGGTTACTAAAGCTCGTCTAAAGTGGATACTCTTTCTCTCGTGGATTTGGGGACTAGGCTATGYCATCTTTGATCTGTACGTCATACGGTATCATCCTGACGCAAAGTATTGCGATTTCAAGGAACTTTCCTGGTACAGCTATGGCGTCTACGAAGTTGTTTACAGTGTAATCATCTACATMATCCCATCCATAACCATCTTTGTTTTTTATTTCCACGTTATAAAAACTATCCGAAAGGAAGATGGGACACTGGGATCGCAGGTGCAAAGAGCAAGAGCTAAAACAAGAATAAAAGTTATAAGAATAATCATTTTAGTGACATTGACATTTTATATTTGTTGTGTAATTCCTAATACTCTATATGCCATAGATCTACACTTCTACAACATTTTGAGGAAGATACATATTCAGGAGTATTTTGACGATATCTATTTTATAATGCTCTGCTTCAATTCTGCTTTCAGTCCTTTTGTGTATTTAATTTTCCTGAAATCATTTCGCAAAGGATTAAAAGATATCTTTAGAGCTTGCACCACCGATGGGCACACCTCTCTCGTCAACAGTTACTCCAAACGGTCGTTCAATTTGGAATATATCGACGTCGCAAAGTCTGGTCCAGAAAATGCAAGAATTAAGCCAGAGATTTTAGAGTTACGTCTTAATATCGATAAACAATAGTGATACTTGTAAGAGACAAGCAAATTGCATTTCAACGTACAAATATAAGCACATGAAACGTGTAGTATTGATTCAATACCGACACTCCTTGTGGTTGATTGCATGGATAATATTCAACTGCCAGTCATGACAAAGACAATCAACGTGTCTCTTGCTACGGGGAGTTTTGCTGATATGGSAAAATGTGGTACTGTCATTCTTGCAAAGAAGGCGAGTATTCCGATATTAAAGAGCTATATGCCGGTAAGCAATTTGCAGAACGTCTCTAAGCTGACGGAGAAAACCGTTTTTAGRTCCTATAAAACATGGAACACAATATTGMAATACATAAAGCAATAAAGCAGACAAATAAAAKAATTAAAAGTAACCAAATGATGAATTGGCGGGGAGAAACACAAATATGAAACATGAGGGAACCCATGCTTTTAATGGATAACCATTCTACTGAAAACTCTTGAAAGGGGATCAAGCTCCACCTGCTTTCGTGCTTTTTTTCGCTTTTTTGTGTGTGTGTTTTTGTTTTGTTTTGTTTTTTGTTTTTTGCAGTCGACTTTGCRAGCAATTCATCATCAGTTCTTGAGCACTATATGCCCGTAATAAATATTTAAGCCAGCGTTTAGATAAGACGTAGATATTATCAGTCCCCCTCTAGTCATATCAGCTGTCACCGACGTCTTGCGACATTTTTGTGAGTCAATCTTTTTCAATTTTGCTGTTCAAATAACTCGCGACACTGTAATATTCCTTGTTATCATATAAATATGTAACCCTAAACCTTACCTCACGTGAGATTCTTGGGTATCACGTGACCAGCCTTCACGAGGGTCTCCCTCCCGAGCGTCCGTCATTTTGATAATACCGGGAAGGCCGGAGTCTGTGGGTGCGAGGTGGCGACGAAGAGACCGAAATTTAAACTCGRGACTCGTTTGGAACCCCAAGTAATTAAGGTAAGCAGATGAAGGTAGAGTACAAACACTAGAGTCATTTAAATTTATAAAGCAAGCAGATCAATCTATAAGCTAAGAAAATCATTGGTATTTTGAAAGAGCTACATTGTATGATTAGATAGATAAAGTTATGTTATTATCTTGAAATGACCGTTAGTAATTCGAGCTCTGTGGGTACATGTTTTTTCAACTGAATTKTTATGCCGTCGTACAAGAAAAGCTTTGTTGTGAAGGAAGTATGCGGCCAAACTAAACTAAAGTCATTTAGGCTGGCGAAGAGACAAAAACACCTAAAAGATATGCTTTAGGCTTCTAGAAAAAAAATCCCTACGCTGGATTTGAGGAACAATTCTGTGTGTTTACAACCGCAGTGAGAATTCTCTCACGATACACGCGGTTAATCATGCATATTTAATGAGGATGCGATACAAATTTGYTAGAGCTGCGGGCGGGCTTTCGCCCAAACTCTCTCGGAGCGGCAAGGAACGCCTGGCTACGCAGGCTAGTGCAACAATTACTGCTAACTTATGCTAATTCTATTGTTTTCTTTCTTTGATTATCACTATTTTTTCGCAAATAGTGGAAAGTGTTGCACTCTTTTAGTGTTTGTACTCTAATGGGATTATTCAAAGTAATTACCAGGCACTGGGATTTAATGATAACCCATTGGAAACATTCCAGGTAGAGTGTCTGGTAAAGTCCTAAAAATTAAGCTTAGCACTTACCAGCTATAATTGTGTTCGATCTGTACAAAGTAATTATGCCAAATAAAAATAGCTATAAAACATGCACAGTCATACAATTAAATTAAAAAAAATGAAGAAATATATCAAAGAATTACCCCATAAAAGTTGTCCTTCGTTAAGCTGCATATCAAACAATTGCCAACATTCGCGCGGGCTACCTGTGTCTTTTGTGGGATTCCTTATTTTCAAGGATGGGAGGGGACTAGGACAAAATTGTAATGGCTGACATGTTGAAGAGCGATTTCTCTGCAAATTCTGTAAGTTTTAGCCATTTTAAAGCACGAAAAGGCGGAAAAAACTTAAAAAAAAACTTTCTATCGTACTTCCTTATAAGGTAAGATTACCATATATAGTCAGCAAAAGTTTGGCAAACGAATGAATGTTTCTCTGAAGCAATTGTTTGATATGCCATATATGGTAATCTTACCTTATRTATCTTGGAGTACGATAGGAATGGTTTTTGCGATTTTCGAGCATGAAAAGCATGAAATCATCTGAAACTTGCAGTTTTTATAGCGAACACCAAATAAACATTTTGTTTGCTTCCAAATATGGCATGGATTCTCTAAAGGAAGACCAAAACTATAAAGCACAGGGATCCCAAACAAATGACACACAATTCTTTGATATGAAAATATTTTTTATTCACACAGTCAATCCCATGAATGAACGTTGCTCAGTYTTAGTCGGTACTACCTTCATCTTTTATTGCCATTTGAGCTGATATAAAASAAGATTAAGGAGGAATTTTAGGACGGAGAGTTGTTGCAGTCTTGCCAATTGCAACAATCTTGTTTATTATATAGTTCTGGATACTTCTCTATGCATAAGTGARTGGCCTAAATTTGTTACTACTTTCAATCTCGGTTTACTACTTAAGCAAATGATGATAGTTAACGATGATGAAGATAATAGATAATCAAAGCAATGATTAATAGTTCATAGCTTATTAATAGCTGACGCAGTAGCAAGGATTGACACAATTTTTCGTTTTTTGTTTTGTTTTTTTGTTTTTTTTTTTGTTTTTTTTTGCTTTTTTTTCATTTCTAAAGTTAATTATCTTGTTTAATCTGCAACATCAAAAGCCGTGGCTCGCTGATATTAATATTTTGCTCGCTTGAATTTTGCGCATTGGATAAATGTTTCCGAAAGCTATTTTGCTCATATCCTCCCTTCTTTTTAAATGCCACTTTAAAACCATCTCGAAACGACTTGAAAAATAGAAAGTACACGAAAGGGTTAAAGGCAGAGTTCAAAGAGTTCAAAACAAAGAAGGTATCGTCGAAATACTCGTCAAAATTCATTTTAGTTAAAACTCCCCAGAAATGATGCGCGCCGTATAATAAATGGGGAATGCCACAGCAAATRTAAAATACCAACGTCACAAGCGAAATTATTTTGATGACTTTTCCTCGTGCTTTTGCTCTTTTTCGCTGTACYTCAGCTTGCGTTCTAAGTGAGTTGTCACGTCTTCTCAAAGCTTGAATCACGCGGATGTAAAATACGAACATAGCAGTTGAAGGTATGATGTATTGTGTCACGGCATATAATATTTGATATCCGCCGTAATTATACCAAGAATAGTCATTGTCTTTACAAGCTTTCTTGTTCAAATCATRTCTTACCAAAATAGCATCAAAAACAAGAAATCCAATTCCGGAAAGCCAGGAGAGTTTTAGAATCCAMTTGAGTTTCACTCTAGTTGCCTCTCTGTTGACTCTTGAAAATGGATGAACAATAGCTTTATAGCGTTCGTACGCCATTGCTGTTAGTAGTAGAGGCGATATAGTCGTCCCAAGCCATACTCCCACTTGAATCTTGCATAGCACTTCAGCGGAAATGTTACTCTGATTGTATGCCTGTTCAAGTACAGATGGAACCAACACTCCTTCACTGTCGTTTAYCACTTGGTAATAAATGGTAAAAACGCCTGACAAGGCGTCAAGTATAGCAAGGTTTAGTATAATGTAGTTCATAGAAGTCTTCATTGTCTTTACACGAAAAATAATGAGACAAACTAAGATATTCTTAAGAAAAACAACTAAAGCAGCTGAAAAAAATGTCATTTTCACCCTCCTTTGCAACAGTTCGAGATTCGCCATTGGTTAACATAMGCCGGAGTAAGCCGATAAAATACTCCGATATATGTTTTTTATATATTTGTATTTATGATTCATCCATTGATGGATATCGCCCATTGATATGTGAGCGCGATTGCTTATGGCATGTGTTGAAGMAATAACTAACGGTACCTTATAATCGCGTCGCCTTTCAAATAATGCTTGTCCGCCTTCAAGGCTTCTCGCAAAGTTACAACATCATTTGCACAGGCACCTAGAGTCAACAGCTTTTCCAGAACTTCCGTTAAGTCTTCGAATCCTCTTGCACCTTCAGCGGCAATATAATCAAGACCCTGTAAGGACTTGCGCACGGAAGCACTGCATTCTAATAAAATGCGTATCATAGTACTTTCACTGAATGGTTTGAAATTGATTTCAACACAATACTGCTTGTATTGATCAACAATGTGCTGTGGGATGATTGTTCTTATCACGTTGGGTACAGTGAGAATTTCGCCAGAGGAAAGTTTCAGCTTTTTTTCACCAAATGGCAAATCTTGAACAATATGTGGACTTGTAATAAAAGCCAAAAAATGGTCGAGTTGTTTTCTCTCGATGCGAAGACGTGTCGCAGGCTTTACTTCTACTGGTGTAGCGCGACCATATTGCAGGCGATGGAGGTTGGCCGTTGTAAAACGATACTGGGTAAGCCCTGGGATAAATCTTTGTATTTCTTTAAATGTTGCTACCCCTGTCATTATAGAGAGAATCTGACGACGTGAAYCCCAACTTGAGACATTTTGGTATGCCTCAGACATTGCTTCTAGGTATTTTACGTCGGATTTGGACAGATGAGAGACACCACTGAGCATATCCATTAGTGGCGACGATCTTATTTGATTCCACAAATCATTGCTTTGGCCAGGACACATTACTGATAGTACACTGCAAACTACCTCACAAGCGCGCTTGGTGTAACGTTGTCGGGTTTTCTCACTGGCTTTGTTCCAGTCAATCCACGGGCGTCCAAGCGGTTCTATGTTGCATTCTACAAGAAAATCATTAAGTTTTGCTTGTTTTCGGCTGGAAATATCATCAGATGAAGATGCTGTGCTACCGTCGGTGTCCGAGGGAAGGAAAGTTTCATCTCGAACATGAAGTAATTCCTTTACTTGTGTCGCTAACTCCTCGTCTGTGGAAACACTATCACTCTCCTGAAAATAGTGATAGATGATATCTTAATTATATGCTTTCTGAAACACATGACATTATTGTGTCTGCTTTTTCAATTAAAAGGAAACAAAAAATCGTCAGTCGTTCATGCACTCAGTACTTGCAACGGTAATACATTAACACTGGTGTAGCGTCTTTTTTTAATTTAATCAAATAATTGTCCACATGACACAGCACTTTGAATTGAGAATAAGCGCACGCTAAAGATTGAAACATAGATTGTATAAGTCATATACACTCGGTTCAGTACAGCTTGCAACTTTTATTTGATCAGCGGTAAAAAATGTATTGTTGCCACGCCCAATTTTGTAAGGGACTCGGATATAGTAATGATTAGTTTCCCATTAGAATTAAATTAG